TGGACCAATTAGCAGCATCAGGATGGATGGTGAAGAGATTGAGATTGTTCACAGCTTTAGTCTGCTTGGCTTCATAGTCAACACTCTTGGCACCAGCAGCCAGGGAATTAAAAGACGTATTGGAAAGTCTGTTGTTAGGGACCTCTCTAAAGTAATGAAGAGCAACGGTGTGCCTCTGGAGACTAAGGTGCATCTGGTACAGGCCATGGTCTTTTCAATCACTTGCTATGTGTCAGAGAGCTGGACAATGACTCGGGAGGATAGAAGGAGGATTGATGCTTTTGAGCTTTCTTTGGTGTTGGAGAAGTATGTTGAGGGTACCATGGGCTGCTAGGAAAACAAACAAATTAATCGTGGAGAGGGTTAAACCGGGCTGCTCCTTGGAGGCAAGGATTCTGAGACTTCTTCTGACATACTTCGGTCATGTTGTAAGGAGGGGCCGGTCCTTGGAGAAGGACATCATGCTTGGGAGGGTAAAGGGACGGAGCTGGAGGGGAAGGCCCTCTGGGAGGTGGATTGATTTGGTGACTGGAGCAATTGGGATGAGTGTGTCGGAAACAATGAGATTGGCACAAGACAGAGCAGAGTTTAGAGCTGCTGTACACAGGGTCGCTATGAGTCGCAAGCACCTCGACGGCACATTACAACAACAAACAACATATACTACACCACTTTTAATTCAACTCACCTCCTTGCTACCAGTCAGAAGTGACTCATAGCTGACCCTTCAGCAAGTTTTCAGAGGCTGTAAATTCTATGGGAGGAGATTTTCCATCTTTCACTCTCAAAGTTTCTGGTGAATTTGAACCACCAGAGAGGTATTGCCTTTGAATTAGCAGCACAACTCGATATAGTCTACCCCACCAGGGTTTCCTACACCATATTCAAATAGGATACATGTTAAGCCAATAACCTTTGAGATTGTTTTAAAACATTATTCTAGATGCAGAAATGTAGAGGTAAATACATGCTACATGAAGATCACCAAGGAACTGAAAAACAGAGCATAAAAAGCTCACAGAATTAAGTGTTCCTCTAGAGCTAGAGGCCTAAATTTGGACTTCTACCTGTGAGAAAACAAATTTGTTTGTTAAAGTAACTTACTCACAGTATTTTTGTTACAGCAATATTAACAAACTAAGACACTGACACACCTTTTTCTTTAGGAACTATGCCAAACTATGTCCAGCTTGCTTGATGGAAAAGCATAGACCTGTAGAGCAGAATCTTGGGTATTTCCTGTTAAATTGTGCCTAGGAAAGTTTACCTGCCTGCCCACTCACTCATTCTCTCTTAGCTCATTGGCTCAGAAAATTCTACTCAGAATGAGCAAAAAAAGCTCTCTCCAGGAAGCCCTTGGGCAGAAGAACAACCAGGACTGAAGAGCAGTGACTGGATCCAAGAAGGGTGAGTTTAAGGAGAGGTAGGTGAGGTTGGGAAGCAAGAGGTTAGAAAGGCTGAGCGTGTACAGGGACCCCTGGGTGACAGGCTGATCTCAAGGAGGGAAACACAGAAGGCATGAGTCAGGGTCTTATTAGAAACCATAAGAAAACCCTTAACTGGGGGAGAACGTAAGTCACATCAGACTAAAGGGAAGACAGAAGATCAAACAAGAAAGAGGAGCAATGAAAAAGGAACATGATTTCATTTCAATTTAACGCACATTTAGTTTGTGTGCACTGACTAGATTGGGTACCAGATCCTAGAAACTCAACTCATTGTCATTGAGTTGGAATCAACTCATTGCTGACCCTGAAGGAGGATTTAGAAGGCTGTAAATCACAGGGGATGGGATTTCCCATATTGCTGCAGGATTCCAACTGCCAAAGAGGCGCCAGCTTTGAGTTAGGAGCACTAATCCCTATGGGCCACTATAGCAAGGTGCATTGCTAACTCTGTGGTGGCGTCTCTCTGATGGTTCAAATCCACCAGCGACACCTCAGATGAGGGACGAACCATATCCTCCTATGCAATTTATAGCCACAAACAACCCACTGGAGAGTCAGCTGTGAGTCAATTCCAACTCAAAGGTGACAAGGATTTTGCATGCATAGAGAGATGAATTCAATGTAGAGTCTAGTAGGAAACAGATCAGTTAAGAACAGAAGAAACTTTCTGCCACTGGAAAAAAGGAGTGTGATTAGAGGTGGGGCACAGAATATTTCCCGGGGACAATATCAGAATCTGCTTATGAAACCTAGGGCTGAGACAAGATTGGATATGGAAAGGACCAGTGATCAAAACAGGTCAAATTCCAAATAAAGCATATGGAGGTGGAGCAACGGTGAGGGGGCTGAATAGAAATAATGGAAGCTGAAGCCAGGAAATGGACACTGAGGAAAAGGAGAAGGGAGGGTGTCTCCAAGAGAGAAAGATGATGGTGAGAGTGAGACTGGGTCAAACCCTTACGCGCTCCCTAAAGCTGAAATACTAGGAATTTCAGAGAAGCTAATTTTGGTCAGCTCACTCAGCTCTGGGACCCCAGCACTGATACAGGAGAGTGAGGGCCTGGTCAAGAGGCTGGGAAACTGCCGGAATTCTAAGAATTTCCTATTTGTTGTGGGAGGATGTGCGAGGTTGGAACATCTTTGACTCAGAAAGAATGAACTGAGGATGGAGGTTGTTCACGTTCTACCAAATAGATGGATTATATGAATTACCCAGAATCCAACCTGGCTCCCTTAATGCCCAAGAAAAGTCAGATGCATCTGAGAGCTGATAAGCATTCTATTTGCCTCCGTTCCTGATTCAGTTCATTCTTGGCAGATAGCTGATGATCATTCACATTAATCTATTCCTAGAATAAAGGAGAATGTCATTTTGGAACTGAAAAACCAACATTCTCCATGTCCTGGCTTACCACCATGTGAAAGGGGAATAATGGCAATCCCTCCCTTGTCAAGGCATCATGAGTGAGGACACAAAAGTACAGTAAATTGACTGTAAATTGTCAATAAGGGGTGCTCACTTATAGATCCTCTTGTCCTTAATTGTCCCTAAATCTGAGCAGATGGAGCGGAAGCACAGCCTTGTCCATTTAGGGCCCACAGACACTACCAGCACGAACTGGGCAATCCTGCAGGGCCTTCTGAGTGGCGTGAACAAGTACTCCACAGCACTGAGTCGTATCTGGCTGTCAGTGGTGTTCATCTTCCGAGTGCTGGTGTACGTGGTGGCCGCTGAGAGTGTGTGGGCTGATGAGCAGAGCGAATTTGTCTGCAACACCAGGCAGCCAGGCTGCCCCAATGTCTGTTACGATGAGTACTTCCCCGTGTCCCACGTGCGCCTGTGGGCCCTGCAGATCATCCTGGTCACCTGCCCCTCACTGCTGGTGGTCATGCATGTGGCCTATCGAGAGGAGCGAGAGCGGCGCCACCGCCTGAAGCATGGACCGAACGCCCCCTCCCTGTATGATAATACAGGCAAGAAGCAGGGTGGCCTCTGGTGGACATACTTGCTGAGCCTCATCTTCAAGGCCACCATTGATGCTATCTTTCTCTACATCTTCCACAGCCTTTATAAAAATTTTGACATGCCCCACTTGGTGGCCTGTTCTGTGGATCCCTGCCCCCACACTGTGAACTGTTTCATCTCCAGACCCACAGAAAAGAAAATTTTTTCCTACTTCATGGTGGGCACAGCTGTCCTTTGCATTCTTCTTAACTTATGTGAAGTTGTCTACCTCGTGGTCAAGAGGTGTATGGAGAGCGTGTACTCCAGGCGCAGGAAACCTCGAAGCCAAGGTCAACAACTTGACACGTGCTCACCAAATGTCCTCTCTCAGGAAGGACATCTACAAGTTGGGACCGCTGTGCTGAAGGTTGGGTTAGATCCACAAGATACAGGAGAGTATGCATATAGGATCAAGACAAGAATATAGGATGACAGGTCCTCTGCCTACTCCCTGATCATCCAGGAAAACAAACAAGGGCAGCGGCACTTCCTTTCTGGAGTTGAGCAAGTGAAGAAGGTGAATATGAGGTTCAAGAAGCTGATGCAGGGTGAAATTGGAGCCCTGAGTCCTGAGCCTTCAGGGAAGAGTGTTGACAAGGATGCAGCTGGCTGGCTGAAGATTTTCTTTATGATGATATGTCAAAATTCTTAATAAAGATGACTTTCCAGAACATTGCTGTCTTGCTGGAAGTGACTGAAAGGGAAGGAAGGGGGTTCGTACTGGGAGACAAGACCACTCAGTAGGCAACTGGGCCCAAGAAACTCTTTGGCTCACCCTACACTCCTTTCAGTCACATAGTATGTCTCAAGATATAGAAGGAAAAGCCCAAAGGCAGTGATGATCCCAATCTCTTTAGGCTCTGTAAGCAACTAGTTCAGACAAAGGTAGATCCCAGAAGGCCCTGAGTCCAACTTAATATTATTCTCAATGAGTATCCATCCTCAGCTGAATGCCTGTTAGTCGGAAGGTCTCTGCTGTACCATTTGAGACACTCTAATCTGCCAAATCTTGCCCATAAAGAGAAGTCCCTTCTGAGGTAAGAGGGGAAAGTCTGAGACTACTGAGACTTATCAGGGCCTAGGAAGGTGTGTGAAAGGCTGTGGTGTCAAGGGTTTATTGTTCAAAATTACTTTCCTAATCACTGACTGACTTTGCCATATGGATGGGTAGAATCATACAAATAGAGAGTGTTAGCCTCTCCACAAAGGGACTGGCTAGTCTCACCATTCCATTAGCTTTAAATCAGGCTGTTTCAGCAGCAGAATTTAGGAATCTCAATACCAACAAGGAAGACAATGCAGCACACATCCTTCAGAGCTAGTGATTTGACTAGGATCTACACAAGACTATAACAGCCTGAGAGGAAAACCAGAGATCAACATGAGACAGAGCTGATTTGGGAGACTTTCACCCAAACTTACTAAAGGACTGAAGGAAGTTATCAAAACTGGCAGGACTAAGGGAACTTTGTGACACTGATCTAAATGTAAAGGTAAGGTCAAAGGGCCTATTAGAACCACAAATGAGAAGTTGTCTGCATTGTATCTTGCAGCCAACCTGAACTTCCCTAATAACTGTTAACTTCCCTAATAAACCCCATAACCATGAATATGGTTCTGTGAAGTCTGTGCAGTCATTGCAATGGATTTCTGATCCAGTGGAGTAGTAAGACTGGTGTTACAATTAGTAGAGGTAAGTAGAAGACCATGCCTGATCTTTAAGGAATTCTTTTGTACAGTGGATGTTGTTGATGAGGTAAGTTTTCTTTTATGGAGTTAGTAGAGATCAGACTCAGCCTTCTTCATGGTGCCTACATTCATTTTTTAAAAAAGGAACATTTCCCACGGGCCAGAGACACAATAAAGGAGAGCCTAAGGGTCCCTTATGGGCCATCAAGTCTCTAAATTTCTCATTCCATTCACTGGATATACATTTCCAAACAACCTAAACAACTTGTCACCTAGTACTCAGACCTTGGAAACTTTCAAAACAACTCTCCAGGCAGAACTTGCCTTTGAGTTCCAGAGCCCAACACATGCTCACATATCTACACAGCAAATAGGCAACTCACACTCAGCAACACCCAGACCAGACTCACTATTTTCCTTCAGTCTATATTTTTCATATACTCTCCCACCAGGAGTAATACCCCATCCACCCAGCTGTCTAAACTAGCAGTTCAGATCTCACTGTTATCCTCTCCTTCCACAGTCCTTATATACCACATCAAACCACAATATCAATACCCATTGTTTCACTCTTCAAACAAACTCCAGTAGCATTCTCCACAGCTTTCTGACCTCTCATTGGGCCTTTCTTTCTACTCTCCACTGTAAGGCAGAGTGATCTTCCCGTAGTCTGATCACACCATTCCTCTAGCTTTAAAATCACTCACTGAGTCTTCAACCCAGCTGCAGTTGACCTCTCCAGCATCACCCCCTGCTTCCTTCCGTCCTTTCCCTCCTGTGGGTTCTCAGAGGCATGGGAAGTGATTGCCCATCCTTCTCCTTCAGAGCAGCTGGCTGACATAAATAGTCTACATTTCAGTTGTCAACATAACTCCCTACCAACTAGACCATCAGAACTCCTTTTTTTTTACCCATCAATACCATCAAAGAATTCAAGTTCCCCTATGCGTCAAGTTGTGGCATGTCCTTCTATACACACTTTGTACACAGTTCTCTCATCCTAGAATGCTATTTTTCCATTATCTTTATACCATTCTGAAGATCAAGAATAGCCTCAACCAGGTACTCCTTTGAGTCACCTTAGGTGCCCTAGTGATAAAAAAGTGGAGCTGCAATTCTAAAGGTACACAGTTCAAATCTATCAGCTGCTCCACTTTGAGAAGAATGGGCAATTACTTTCCATGTTATTTGCTATTGTTGTTTTTGTTCTGTGCCGTAGATTCGCCTGAGACTCATAGAGACCCTTGTGTAAAACAGTAAAACAGCCCTAAACCCTGCTCTATCCCTTGCCAACCTTACTATCTCCAACACACCCATCCCCATTACCCTAGTGACAAAATCAATCCATCTCTTTAAGGGTCTTCCTCTCCTGTGCTGTCCCTCCACCCTCCCAAATATGACATCCCTCTCCAAGACAGGTCCCTCCTTGCAACATGTCCAAAGTATGTCAAACGAAGCTTCAGAATCCTTTCCTCCAAGGAGCAGCCTGGCTTCACCTTCTCCAGGATGAATTTGTTTGTTCTAGCAGTCCATGGTTTATTCAATATTCTTCTCCAACACCACAGCTCAAAAGGCATCAATTCTCCTTCTATCAACCCTAGTCATTGTCTAGCTCTATGATGTATAGCAAGTAATAGCAAAGACCATGGCCTGTATCGGTCACACTTTAATCACCAGACTGACATTGTTGCTCCTCAGTACCTTGGAGACGTCTCTGACTTTCCCAATGCAATTTGTCTTTTAATTTCCTGACTGCTGATACCAAGAGTGTTGATTGTAGAGCCAAGTACTGAAGCTGTCAACAATCTCAGTCTCTTCACCATCTATCATGATGCTGCCAATCGGCCCAGTCTGAAAACCCTCTGGAGGGTCAGCTATGGATCAGTTCCAACTCAACAGCAAACAACAACTGTTAAGCTTAGGTCATTTTCTAAATCAGAATGGCCAATCTCCTTGTATGTACTCTGATGGGTCTATGATCCCTTTGCAGGAAGCGGCTGCTGAGTAATGCAAAACAAATGCCTGTTACATGAGTAATTGGGTCATGAACTGTTTAAGGAAGACAATTCTGTGAGGAGCTGCCTACAGTGTTATTAAGTTGGGACTGGATGGTCAGTAGTATCCTATCTACAGTGACGGGGCTCCCATCTGTGACTGTCCTGGTGGGATGCAGCATGGGTAGTGAAGGGAACTGAGCCAAAAATTGGAGGTAGGCTAAAGAGAGAAGTCAGACAGCCTGGGATCAAATCCCTATTCCTCCATGCCAGCCACTTTGGGAAAATTATGCCTCTGCTCTGCACTTCAGTTTCTTTCTCTATAAAATTGATGTACTCATGCACCTCACTGGACTTCTATAAGGGACAGCACTCCAGATGCCCAAAATACTCACCTACACTCAAGTCTAACCTTTATATCCAGGTATAGTGAACCTGGAAGAAGAATATAGCATTTGCCCAACACCAGACCTGACCACTTCGTAAGAAACCTGATAACATCTAAGCTGGTCACATCAAAGACCAGACCAGACAATGGATCCTGATAAGGCCCTGAGCCTGATCACCATAGCCCAAACCCAACTTAATTAACATCCCAAATTCCAAGAAGTACTATCTTCCTTAGTCCTCCGTAGGTCCACTA